GAAGAAATTTATCCCTTTCATCTAAATTACCAAATTTATTGGAATAAAATTATTCATAATATTTCTTTTTTATTATTTTATTATTGGTAGAGTCTGTAGTGTGTTACTTCTGTCTTCCCTGTCCCTCCCTCCCTACCACTTGTTTCTGATACCGATAATTTATGTCTTCTTTTTTTCTTCCCAATTAGTCCAGCTAGAGGTTTATCAATTTTATTGACCATCTCGATGAACCAGCTAGCTCTCAGTTAAATGATTTCCTTTTCTTATCTTTTTTTTTTTTTTTTTTTTTAAAGTCAAGGTCTTGCTCTGTGGCCCAGGCTGGAGTGGTACAGTGACATCATCCTAGCTCAACCCAACCTTGAACTCCTGGGCTCAAGGGATCTTCCCACATCAGTCTCCTGAGTAGCTGGGACTACAGGCATGCACTACCACCACCCTGCTATTTTTTTTTTTTTTTTTTCTTGTGGAGGTGGGATCTCACTTTGTTGATCAGGCTAGACTCAAACTCCTGGCCTCAAGCCTTTCTCCCACCTTGGCCCCCTAAAGCACTGGAATTACAGGCATGAACCATTGCGTCCAGCCTCAGTTACATGATTTTCTGTATTGCTTTTCTAATACTATTATTATTTTTTGATGGGGGGGATTCATTCTGATTGTGGTTTCTTACTTTCTTTTACTTATTTTTGCTTGATTTCCTTTTTTTTTCTTTGTTTCTTAAGGTGGTCCATGTTCTTTTTAAACTGTGAAATATTTTAAACGTAGACTAAATTACAGAGGAGGAATAGCTACCCAAATCCTATATTGGCATATTTACTCTTTATATGTCTTTAAATATTATAAATGCACTTAAAGCCCTCATCACATTTCCCTTTCCAAATCTCATCACTACTCTGAGTGTTTCCTTTAACTTGCTTGTTGGTTTAGGTCATCCATATGGGCATTTTCCCCTACATTTTACATAATATTGCTTTCTGTATTTTCACAGTTTAAGTAAATGGAATGCTAAATGCATTCTCTATTATACATTTTATTCAACAGTTTTATTCAACATAGTTTTCAAGATTTATGTAAATATAGGTTCATAATATATAGATTTAATTTATTTTAACTATGTAGTATTCTAATGATTAAATACACCCTATTTTGTTTTATTTTTAGAAATAATCCTAACATAGATTGCTTCTAATTTTTTACGATTATAAACAGCACAAAAATGAAGAATTGTTTTGCATGTCTCCTTGACAACTTAGGTTACAGATTATTCAGCATATGTCCCTGGAAATACAATTGCTAAATTTAATGATACCCATATCTCCAGCTGGAGTACTGACTTACATTTCCACCAAAGTTTCTGTATTGAGAATTGTATTTGGTATCAGTCATTCCTGACTGTTAGTAGCTTATGGTTTCAGTTGTTATGGTTACCTCTTGGTCCACGTTGGCTCCTAGAGTTCAGCTATCATGTCCACACGAAGGGGGAAAAAAGGGAAGAATGAAAAGGATTTTCCTGGAGTCATGAACCAATGATTTTGTGTTGATACCTCTGTGGCTGCCTTTCTTTACATTTAACGACTGGGAAATGTAGATTTTAGCTAGGTATATTGTGCAGAGGAAAGGGGGAGTGTTTATTGAGTATGCCATCAGCATTTACTGTCACAGATCTTTTACCTGGTCTGTACTAACATTTGATAATAAACGTTTAATTTTTGGCAGTTTGAAATGGTATCTCACTTTTAAAATTGCATTTCCTTGATTGGTGAGGTTCAGAATTTTTTACATATATTTAGGCTTTTTTTTTTTTTAATTGCCTTTGATATAATTCTACTAAGTTTTATCTTTCCCTAATTAATTTAGTATAACTGTTTATTATTCAGGATACTGATCTTTTGTTTCTTTACATCCAAATAGATGCTTTTGTCTCTCATTTTTAAACTTTTGGTATGTTCTCCTTGTTTATACAGAAGTATTCATTATAATGGGGTTAAATTTAACAGGTCTTATCCTTTGTGATTTGTTGTTTTTATGTGTGTTCTTGGGAAAAATTTTTTTCCGACATAAAAGTCATGGAGAACTCTTAGAAAAAAAAAACTTTTGCTTTTTTGCAAAATCCATTTGGGAGTTTTTGTATATATATTTGTGAATGATTTGATGTCAGAATTTAATTTTTTTCTATATGGAAGGTCAGTTGTCCCAGCGGCATTCATTGAATAATATATTCTTTTACTATGATTTGCTTTAACTTTTGTCATATATCAGATTTCTGTATGTGCATGAACTTTTGCATCTGTTTCCTTGGTTTATTTACCTTTTATTTCTGACTGCTTCATAAAAAGTCTTTGTGTAGTAGGTCAGTATCTCTTCTTTAAAATTATCTTAGTTATTCTTGGCTATACTTTAATATAAGCTTTAGGGTCAGTTTGTTCAGGTCCTTGAAAATTTTGATTAGAATTTAACTGAATTCTTAGATTAATTTGGGAGAATTTGACATGCTTCTCATCTTGAGTCTTCACATTTGTAATCATGGTCTGCCACTCCATTTGTTCAGGTTGTTGTTATGTCCTTTAGTAACGTTTTATATTTGTTTTCATAAAGGTTCTGCCTATTTTATTAGATATATTTCCTGGTGACTTAGTTTATATTTTTATTGAGAATGATATCTTTTTAAATTTATTTTCTAATTAGTTATTATTGGTATATGTTATTGGTTATAAATGAATCTTTAGGAACCCTTATGTTACCTTAGTAGTTGAGTTTTTCATCATTCTCTAGCTTTTTTCCGCCCAATAAACCCACATTTATTAACTTCTGCATTTCAGACCTGTGGTCATCCTGTTTTGTCTTTGAGCATGACAGTTCATGCTGCTGTCACTACTTTTTCAGACAGCTCAGGGCATTTCATTTTTTAAATTCAGCTCATTACCATTGTCTTGTTCTCTATATGACCAAAAGGAACTGTCAGAGAGATAAGAAGGTTACATTAGGTTATGTTCCTTAAAAATTACAAAGATGTCTCTCTCGAGCTCATTGCTCTTTTCTGTCCCCACTTCTCATCTTCAGTTCTGAGTTTACTTCTTACCTTTATTCTCCCACTCCCATGCCCATCTTTCTCTTTTGTTTGCCCGTATTTCCCTTCCTTCTCCCTTCCATTTGGTAACTATAGTTTTTACCACCTGCCAGGCACTTTAGTTTGTGCTTTGCATATGTTAACTCATTTGCCCTTTATCACAGTCCACTGAGGATGGTGGGGCAGTCTCATTTCATAGATGAGGACATGAGGAGACCCAAGCTTATAAAAGTAGAAAGTAGGAGAGCTTGGATAATGTCAGGCGTTTCAGACTCCTAATGTCATTTTTGTTGTTGTTGTTGTTGTTTTCACTTTGCTGTATTATTGAGGTTCTTTCTTTCTACTGTTTTTATAAGTGGATGAGGTAAATGTGCTGTATGTCTCTAATAAAAATTTTTAGTAAACCTACTTAGATAGTGTCTCTAAAATAAAGCTATGTCTATTTTGGGTGGAGGGTGTTACTTGATCTTTCACGATAGCCATTCTCACAGGTCTCTCTAAAGAAAAAGAGGTTTACAGAGAAGAAAGACTTAAATGCAGAAATAATCGGTAAAAGTTTACTATGTCCAATATGCTTTACAAAAACATATTATGTATAGCCATGTAGCTAGCTATGTGAATGTTCTAGAAAGTGGTCCTGTTGTAAGAGTGCATTGTAAACATTGATAAAAGAAAAACATTAGGGACACTGGATTCTATTCATGGGTAAGTGTATTGGGCAAGTAATTTTACTTTTAACAGGCATTAATCTCCTATATAATCCAAGGATAGAATTGATTATATAATCATTATATATTTGAAGGATACGAGATTAGTGGGTAGAAAATCTTTGCTGTATTTATAAATAAGCAACAACATACAGAACTGTTTAAGGTAATTTTTAAAAATCATTTTGATAGTATTTTCATTTTTGTAAGGTACTTTGTAGTTCTTGTTCATCTGTGTGTCCTGTACTTTTATTATAATCATGGTATCTGCTTTTATTTTTTATTTTTTCATGACTCATGCATCTCTCTCATGAACTGTATTCATTTTCAGAAATATTGATTTTAGATAATCTCTTTAATGTTGTAGTATTCCCTTTTGTGAGATAGTTCATCGATTTCTAGTTTTGTTTTTTCTTTGTGTAATTTATGGAGCATTTGTTTCAGTTACATTCCCAGACATAGGATGATTCTGTAAAATGGTATCAACACATTTATTTCTGTTTTATTGTCAAATTGCTGTCAAATTGGTTTAAAACAATCTATAATGCAAGAAATATTTGAATGATTCAGTTTAATTGTAGCCAGCATCCAGTCATTTAACAAGTATTTATTGAGTCTTTGCTCTGGCAGAGGTTACATTCTAGTGGGGAATATATATGACAAACATAATAAATAAGTAAATTACACTTTACATTAGAGCATGATGATGACTTTACAGAACAGAGCAGGATGGGGGAGTGCCTGGTGGGATGACTTGCGCTTTACATTACTTAAAGTAGGCCTCGCTGAGAAGGTGGCATTTGAACAGGGTCTTGAGGCATGGGATTTACTTTATGTATTTTTGTCTTTTGTGGCTAATTTAAGAAGTTTATGTAGTCTCTTAAGATTACTGTCATCTATTTTCATTGTTAGTAAGAATGAATGGTTTTCTACATATTTCCTATTTTTTTTCTATTTTGGCAAAATTTGAAATTTTTATAGAAGCACAGAAGTTTTCTGTGTAAGCCTGTCCCTGTCCATACAATTAAAGAGTGGGGAAAATTGGCTTTAACTACATTGTTTGTATTTAAATCTGTTGAAGGCTTTAATAAGAAAACAAATGTTATTACTAGTTTGAGATTTGAAATCAAGAAGAATAAGATTGCTCCTTTCTATTATATTTACATTTTAAGTAAAGGCAAGGTGATATTTAAGATATGTAAGAATAACAGATATTTGTTATTTTATAGGGTGACTGTTGGATCTGTATGGAACTCATGTCTACCTCGTTTGATAAGTTTTACAAATATGTATATAGTGTATTAGATGATGTTATTCCAGAAGAAATTTTAGGCAAAATCACTTTAGCAGTAAGTACCTAGTCTTTAAATTATTCATTGTGTATATAGTTATATAGAGATGCTGCTGGAGTTTTGAATACACATATTTGAATGTCACTCACAGTACCTTCCTGAAAATAATTCGTAGTGAATAACCAGAGACAAAGTTACTTCTGTGGGGTAGTTAGCACAATAGTAGTCATAATGGTCTCGATAAATACTGCCAATGTTCTTTCCCTTTGAATCTCAATGAATCATAACAGACTGTTCTGTAAATAAAACTAGAAAAAGCAATTTTCTGTTCATTTTTTCCTGTTGCTTTAACTATTTTTAAATAGGCTATATTAGCACAGTTATCCCGAAATTAATCAGAATCACAGACGTCTCCTTGAAGCCCCATAATTGAAGCCCTTGGACAAAGTACGTTTACTGTGATTTAAGATTTTGGTTATTCAGTCTAAACTATCTAAAATTTTGACTAGCAGTTTCAGGGACCAGTGTTACTACTAAATTTGGTTAATTCACTTTCACCAGAGGACCAAAAAAGAAAATAGGTACTTTTTTACATATGTGTTTATAGTTTTGAAAGTAAATTGGTTGATCACTTTGTTTCTTGCTCTGAATCTTTAAGTCGGCAAATGTATGTACATTTTTTTCCTAAAGGAAAAAGATAATTTACTTTCATAGAGCAAAATTCATAAGATTCTTACAAACTCCTGAGAATCTGAGCTAATGGCATGTTTTAGGTTAGTTGATATATAAACTAAATCATACAGGAAGTTGTAAAATGATACTTCGGTTGCATGTAATTTCCCAGCTCTTCCTTACCTGCATACTACCCCTCCAATGTAGTTCACCAAGATATATATACCCTTTCAAATAATTTCATAAAAGGATTTTATGAAAATCATTTTATTTTTAAATTTTATGAAAATAATTGTATAAAATGAAGCTAACTTAGACTAGAAACTTATTCATTATTTAGCTGGGTGTATGAAATTTTACAATGATTAGTTTAGCCATCTCTCTCCAATATATTAAACCAGTGTTATCTTGAAACTTGTTACTATTCGTAATAATTATAATAATAGAAAAATGACAATAGCTAATGGTTATTAAATGCTTATTTGCATCAAACTGTTTGTGACATTTAATCTTCATAGCAACTCTCTGTGGTAAATAGTGTTACCCCATCTTTATGGATGATAATCTGAAGCATAGACAGATGAAATAATTAATGTGCTTTGAAGTGTATGCAGTTAGAAGTGGCAAATGATTTAAATCCAGGCAGCCTGATCCCAGAACCCTGCTCTTAACCACTCTATGACAAGATGACCATGAAATTAGAAAACAGAAAATTATTTTATATATTGCAATAAAAAGAATATATACTGTAGAAAATGATTTATTCCATATTTGCATTATTCAAGACTTGGTGATCATTTTATATATACTAAGCACACATGTAAAATTATTTTGTGTTTAGTCTTTTCTTGCTAATTAATAAACCAGCAAACACACAAGCATAGCTATTCACAACAAATTTATGTGTTCTACATTTCTCGTACCTAGCAGCTTGACATCAGCAAAGACTTAATCTTACAGCAAATGGTTGGCCTGTTGTTTAGTTCTCCTTTAGTTTGAGGTTGTGTCTCTCTTCCTTCCCTTCCTGAATAAATGTGTAATATTCTGATCATGATCAGTGACCAGGCAACAGGATAAATTCCCACAGTGGTGAACAGAGTTACGCTAGCTCTTCAAAAATCACCTTGAAGGCTTAGCACCCAATGAGAGTGGATAATTGTGAGGAACTGAGAATTTAGAAAACTTTTTATGTACTATTGGACTTAGAAATTGAAATCGATTTTGCTGCAAGTTATTACTCTTAGTTGAAATGGAACCAACTCAGTGATCGTTGTTGTCCTGTTTTTATTTTTGAACATGTTAGAGGCCAGGCACAATGGTTCATGCCTGTAATCCCAGTATTTTGAGAGGCTGAGGCAGAAGGATTGCTTGAGCCCAGGAATTTGAGATCAGCCTGGGCAACATAGCTAGAACCCTGTCTCTACTAAAAATTTAAAAAGTTAGCCAGGCATGCATCTGTAGTCCCAGCTACTTGGGAGGCAGTGGTGGGAGCGAGACCCAGTCTCAAAACAAAAAGGGAAAAAAAATACAAGGAAATTTTAGGCTGGAGATACAAAAAAAGATAAAATTTTAAATGAATTATTAAATTATAAGTCTAAGTTACTGGGTGGGTTGGTTGGTTGGTTGGTTGGTTTGTTTGTTTTAGCCATCAGGGAACAGCATATAAAGACAACTAAGCTTTTAGATCTGAAATTATTCAGTATCTTTGGATAACAAGAAATGACAGAATATTGAAATATTAAGCTTAAAGTGTATGCAAAGGACTACATGGGATATTACTTGTTTTCAACTATTATGCTGTTTGAATAAAAAGAAACAAGGTGCTTATTTCATCTCTTCTTTTCTCCCTAGACTGTGAAAGCACTAAACCACTTAAAAGAAAACTTGAAAATTATTCACAGAGGTGGGTATGGATTGGTATTTGCTTAATAGAAATTAACTTTTTTCTCTTAATTGATGAACAGTTACTGAAAATTACAGTGTCACTGTATAAACTTTCCTAAAATATTCATATTTTTAGCAAAAAATGATTTATGTACTCTAAAGCTCGTATTATTACTATTTTTTTCTTTAGGATTCAATAAATTTCAGTCTGTCTTAGTATGTTGGACTTAGAAACTGAAATAGATTTTGCTGCACATTGTTATTACTATTAGTTGAAAAATAATTATGCATTTGCCTGATAGATAATTAATGTTTTTCTGCATACAAATAAGGCATCGAAGTGGTCCTGTGGACATTCAGAGAAGAATCTGAGGGACAGTACTGTCAAGCATTTTAAAGGCACGCTATCCCTGTCTGTTGTTTCTTCTTCACATTAGAGGATGTTTCTAAATTGAGAGAAATCTTTTAATTGGTATTATAAGTTGAAATTTCTCTAAAGCATGTTGTATTTGTGTAAACAGTGATCTTGCCCTTATTAGATACATATTCAAATGAAACATTTGATGTAGTTGAAGGCCAAACCTAGAAAAGTGGTAACCCTGTGGGAATCCTGAATTTAATCCAGCAAATAGATGAAATGCTTGCTTTTCTTATTACCGTGCTAGACTCAGGGTAGTGAGGTGCTGGCTTTGAGGAAACACACTGGGTCACTACCCCTCAGCAAATTTGTAATGGAAAAACCTAAGACAGTACGTGGCAGTGTGTGATTTAGCCTGACAGTAAATAGGAAGAAAAGTGAAAGGTCAAAATCAAGAGAAGTGAAAAATTTCTAATTCTGGGAGACAATTTCTGGTGGTTAAAGAAATTAGTAATTGGGCCATTTTTTTTAAGTTATTTTGTTTGTGGTTGACACTAGACCACTGAAATTAGTGAACCTTGAACATCAGTATATTTTATTTAATTTTGTTTGGCTTAATGCTTGTTAGAAATAATATCATTTTTTCTTTTGGCCTAAAATTATGTAGAGTTAGGTCCCTAGACAAAATTCTTTGTTTCTCTTGTAGTTGTTCTTCTTGTCTTGATTTTTTTCCCTTCTTCGTTAGCTGTGTTTTATAATTGTGAGAGTAGCACCTTTGAGACATTTGTTAGTTACCTTAGGGATACTTAGTGACCGCAGTAAAGCACCGAGGTACTGCCTGGGAAGTAGTTGAATAAAATAAAAAATCTTCAGAAGTAACTTTTGTTTTTCTGTTACTAAATAAAGTGATGAGTTTATAGCTGTCTTTTATCAGTTAGGATCAGGTAGCTTTTTTGTTGGAGTCAGTGCTTTTGATTACAAGTAATAGAAAATTCTGATAACTCTCGTTAAACTTTAAGGAAATTCATTATCTGTCATAATAAATCCAAAGATGGGGTGGCTGAAAGCACAATATGACTATGGGTCATGCTTGCTCCTTTTGCTTCTGTCCTCCTTCATGTGTTAACTCTGTCCTCAGGGTAGTAACAACTAGAGCAGTTCCCACTGTCATGTCTAGATGTGACTGCCTCTTGAAGAAGAGGTGCTCTCATGCTGTGCAGCTCTGTGGGGAATATGGAAACTTTTCCCACATCTCTAATACCTTTTCTTGGCTCATTCACTAGAAGTGCCTCATGCCCTTAAACCAGCTACTATCAAGAAGCATGAGACTACCCTTATAAAACTTATACCAGCCAACAGCCAGGATTTGGAGGTGTGGCTGTTGATAAGAAGAGATACCTCAATAAAACACAGGTTCTGTTAGAAGATATGGATGGGGCTGGGCGTGGTGGCTCACACCTGTAATCCCAGCACTTTGGAGACCAAGGCAACTGGATGACTTGAGGTCAGAAGTTTGAGACCAGCCTAGCCAACATGGTGAAACCTCATCTCTACTAAAAATACAAAAATTAGCCAGATCTGGTGGCGCATAGCTGTAATCCCAGCTACTCAGGAGGCTGAAATAGGAGAATTGATAGAACTTGGGAGGCGGAGGTTGCAGTGAGTGGGGATTGCGCCACTGCACTCCAGCCTGGGTAAAAAAGAGTGAGACTGTCTCGAAAAAAAAAAGAAAAGAAAGTATGGATGGTTAGGAATGGATTTTTGATAGGCCCACAGCTGTTTCAATCATGGTACGAGATCTTTACTGAATTTTTTTGTGGATCACCTTCTGAGTTACATTTAGATGTTTTCTGCATCCTATATTTTAAAACCTTATTTTTTATTCATTGAGCCAGGGTAGTGACAAGGACGTGGATGAAGGACTGAGCTATGGATAGAGAATTAGTTGGCACATACTGGTAGTGACTTGATTGTCAGTGAGAAAGGGGTTTGACATTCCTTATATTTTGACTGTTATGCAATGAATCTGAACTAAATAAATGAATTTGTAAGCCTTTTGAAAACAATTTAATGCCTAAATTTCTTCTGAAATTTTTTTTTGATATTCAGTTTTTAAGCACTGGCATTCAGAAAATTGTTTTCCTTTCTCATTTTCAATAGAAGAAAACCATTGTTTTTTCTGTGTTTTACAAATATGAAGATGTTAAGAGAAAAATCAATCCCTGTCTATGTCTTACAGATTAATAAGATGTTTGTGAAATGACTTTTGCTGTTACATTTACACAATTATAGTTATTAAAGCTACTTGTTTAAAACATGAGTAATTATTGTATGTGATAAATGAAGATGCTTTACTTCTTATATATCTGAATTTAAGGACTTGACCACTTACGTTGTCTAAGGTTTTTCAATATTTTTGCTTAAAGTGAGGCTTTATGTAACCTAGGAAGAAGCTAATTGTATACTGAATGATATCTATGTCTTGCAGATATCAAACCTTCCAATATTCTTCTGGACAGAAGTGGAAATATTAAACTCTGTGACTTCGGCATCAGTGGACAGCTTGTGGACTCTATTGCCAAGACAAGAGATGCTGGCTGTAGGCCATACATGGCAGTAAGTGTTAAGTCCAGGCCTTCTTGTTTGATAGTCATTGCACAGAGAACCTATGTTCTTTTGTGCTGACCCTTAGTCATGCGATTTTACCATGAAACTGCTAGAATATTTCCCTTACCCTTAGGCCCATGCTCAGGTCCTAGCATCTCCATGACACTTTGCTAAATTATCCCAGTCAGCTCCTGTTTTCACTGTCTTGCTTTATTTCTCTTATTTGGTATTTAGCAGTTGTGGTCTTCTGATTATTGTTTGTTCATTATATTCAATTCAACTCATTAAGCAGATGGTAACTTCTCAGAAAGTTCCTACTATCCCTTAGTGAGACAAATGGGAAGCCTTGGGTTCATAGCAGAATTCACTATGTATTACAGAGTCTGAAGCTATATGTTTTGAATATTGTCAGTCCCTGTTTTAGGGGTAGATGAAGCACACCAACAAATGCAGAAGTCGAGGCCTTCAGTGTTTTGCAACCTGGAGCCTCTTTTTCTGCAAAGAGACAGATGTACACTATCCATCCATAGATACCACACTCATCTTACCCCAGTATATTTGCATACAGTGTTCCTACAGCCTTTATTTTGATCTATATTTGAATAAGAATTTAGTGTCTGTGTTTCAGACATTTCCCGAGGTGTTGATGTCTTTCTTTAATGTTGCCATGGTTCTTTGGGGACAAATGTGACACAAGCCAGGCGTGGTGGCTCACACCTGTCATCCCAGCACTTTGGGAGGCCCAGGCAGGAGGATCACAAGGTCAGGAGATCGAGACCATCCTGGCTAACATGGTGAAACCCTGTCTCTACTAAACATACAAAACAAAATTAACCAGGCATGGTGATGGGCGCCTGTAGTCCCAGCTACTTGGGAGGCTGAGGCAGGAGAATGGCGTAAACCCGCAGGGCAGAGCTTGCTGTGAACCGATATTGCGCCTCTGCACTCCAGCCTGGGTGACAGAACGAGACTCCATCTCAACAACAACAACAACAACAACAAATGCGACACATAAGGTTTTGTGGTTGTTTCTTGAGGCCTTCCTGCCAGCAGCATTTCTTTCCATCTTTGTAGACTCTTTTCAACTAAAGATAAGCTTAGAATTGAATAAAATTTTTCTTTTTCTTTGTTTCCTCCTTGATATATATGTTTTCAAACCTAGTGCTATAAATAATAAAAAAGTAAGAGTCACAGGCTAGATATTATAGGTGTTCTATATTGTTTGTGATATATTGTTTGTGAATGGATAGGCTTAATGCTACTACAAATTTCAACTTACTGCATTTTTCAGTCCTCTTTTGGTTTTGTTATATCTTCCCATATCACTTTTTCTTCAGATGAACATGTAAAAGGAGTGTGTGTGTGTGTGTGGGTAGACACCTAACCTGTGTGGTAAGACCTTCTTTTAAACTTTTGGTTTTATGGATGTTGACTGGCTGGGCAGATTTCTTGACTCAGTTCGGAAGATCATTTGTTATTGTGGATAACTAGGGACAAAGGGCATAATAGTTTCAAAGGCAAGAAATAAAAATAATTAGACATGGAGCATTGGGAAATGTGATTTACATATTTATTAAGGATACCCTGAGAATGAACTGAAATTGTTATCTATAGTTTAGGGTTTGTCTCAATACTAACAGTGACTAAATGTTTTTGTTGTGTGACACTAAGAATTATATTTGATGGAAGCAGGCTTTGAAAATGCAATTGAAGCCCAGATAAAGTAGAATACTTTGAATTCAGCTTTTAAAGAAAGACGCAGACTTTCTTTAAAACAGACTTTCTTCATTCTTGTGCAGAGATATGCTTTGCAGGCCCAGGAGATACAAGACTTCTGTTTTCCTGCTGACCTTCATCTGTGGAACACAGAGGCTGATAAACTCTTCGCCTCTAATCTTTACTGGACCAAACGAAATTCTTCTGTCCATTCTCGTCTTTCAAAGCCTATTTAGATAGACAAGAACTTAATGTTAATTTTAAAAGCCTTCAAGTGGTTTGACTTTTCTTCAAATATTGACAAAACATGTTGGAGGTGTATCATTTTATTTGAGATTTATAATTATCTTTAGTCTACAGGACTTAGGATTACTCATTAGATTGTGCAACATAAAAAAATAAATAAAATGTAGAGTTTACACATAAATTTTCCCATAAATGGATTTCCTGTAAACATTTTCCCAACTCCATGCCCTCATATAGGTACACAGTCTTATGTTGCTTAACCATGGGAATACGTTCTGAGAAGTGTGTCGTTAGGCGATTTTGTTGTGCAAAATCATAGAGTGTACGTACACAAACCTAGATGGTATAGCCTACTACACACATAGGCTATATGGTATAGCCTATTGCTTCTAGTCTGCAAGCCTATACAGCATGTTACTCTACTAAATACTGAAGGTAGTTATAGCACAACAGTAACTATTTGTGTATCTAAATATAGAAAAGATAGGTCAAAATATGGCAAAAAGGAGGTAGGGGCAACACTCCGGAGGAAAGATGGAAGACTACCAGGCTGCCGAGGAGACTGCTTTTGTCGTTGATGAGTTGAGCAGATTGTAAAAGAGGCTATAGAAAGCGCAATTGGTGGTAACGCTTATCAACACAGCAAAGTGAATCAGTGGACCACAAATGTAGTAGAACAAACTTCAAGCCAACTCACCAAGCTGGGAAAACCACTGAAATACGTTGTGACCTGTGTAATTATGCAAAAGAACGCAGCTGGATTACACACAGCAAGTTCCTGCTTCTGGGACAGCTCTGCTGACAGGAGCTGCACCATGCGATGGGAGAATAAAACCATGTACTGCATCGTCAGTGCCTTTGAACTGGGTATTGGACCTCGTAGTCCAGCCTGTGACCTTCCTCCGGTAGTTCATCTTCTAACACCAGCTATGAATTCAGTGAACTCTTTTCTCGTTCTTTTTAATTCTGTTTTGTGGCACTCTCAAAATGTAGAGGAAAAAAACAAATGACTGCACTGTTACATGAACTGTGCACTAAACTCAGATGAGTATCCCTGTAGGTCACCTGCAGCCTGCGTTGCCACTTGTCACTCTGAATATTTCTTTTCAAAGGTGCTAAAATCTGAAATCTTCTAGTGTGAAACTTGCTATCCTCTCTGAAATGATTCAAATACACTAATTTTCCATACTTTATACTTTTGTTAGAATAAATTATTCAAATCTAAAAAAATATGATATGAAGAATAAATAATGGTTCCCTGAGAGAAGGCACGTATCATGAATGGAGCTTACAGGACTAGAAGTTGCTCTGGATGAGTCAGTCAGTGAGTGGTAAGTGAATTTGCAGGCCTAGGACACTACTGTAGACTTTATAAACACTGTACACTTAGGGTACACATTTATAAAAAAATTTTTCTTCAGTAGTAAATTAACCTGAGTGTACTGTAACTTTTTTACTTTATATACTTTTCAATTAACATTTTTAAAACTTTTTTTGTATTAACACTTAGCTTAAAACACACACTTACAGCCATACAAAAATATTTTCTTTCTTTATATCTTTATTCCATAAGGCTATTCTGTTCACTTATTTTTTCTTTTTAAACTTTTTTGTTAAAAACTAAGACATCATTCTAGGCCTATACATGGGCAGGATTGTTAATATCATTGTCTTCTACATCCACGTCTTGCCCCACTGGAAGGTCCTCGGGGGCAGTAACATGCAGGGAGCTGTCATCTCCTTTGGTACCAATGCCTTCTTCATAATACCTCCTTGAAAGACCTGCCAGAGGCTGTTTGATGGTTAACTTTTTTTTTAATAAGTAGAAGGACATCAAGTATAGTGTACTGTGCATAATTGTATGTGCTATACTTTTAAATGACTAGCAGTGCAATAGGTTTGTGTAAAACAGCATCACCACAAGCGTGAGTAATGTGTCGCTGTATGTTATGAGGGCTATGGTGTCATTAGGAGATAGGAATTTTTCAGCTCCCTTATAACCTTATGGGACAACCTTTGTATATGTGGTCTGTCGTTGACCAAAATGTTGTTTTGCAGCACGAGACAATTTCTGTATGTGGGTGTGGATGTGCCAAACCACCTGAAAGTAAGTTATATCATGCATTTTATTCTAAACACTTCAGTGCGTATCTCCCAAGAAAAAGACCATTCTTCTACATAACCACAATATCTTTACCACACCTAAAAAAAAAACAAGAATGTCATCTTTGAGTATCCCCATTCCAAAAATTCAAAACCCGAAACGCTCCACAATATGAAACATTACCAGAACCAGTATGACCCAAGTTGAAAATTCAGCTGACCTTATGCGATGGGTCACATTCAAAATGCAGGTGCACCACACCTTGTTTATTCAGTGTTCCCAAGGTATAAAAGACCCTTGTACCCCCTTTAGCTGCAATATATCTTTTCCACACATGCCCAGATTTTCCCCACATAAGCATGCCTACAAAGGGTAATAAAATGGCATGTATGCAGGTCAGATATGCTAATGACAGATTCCACACTATACCCCACATGGGGTCAAGACCTACCTGTATTACTCATTATATATTTTTTGTTTGTTTGCTGATTTTTTGCTCAGTAGCTTAAAGATAATGTTGAAAATGTCAAAGAGGCCTGCAGATACCCCTAGAAAGACAGCAGTTCGTTAAAGGGGAAGTGTTTATTTTTATAGCACAGAAAGTCAAGCTGTTAGAGAAACTGGACAATGGTGTAAGTGCGAAATGTCTTACAGAAAAGTGTGGTGTTGGTATGACCACCATATATGACCTGAAGAAACAGAAGGAGAAACTGCTGAAGTTCTGTGCTGAAAGTGATGAACAAAAGTTACTGACAAATAGAAAAACACCACCTATAGCTGAAAATGAAGATCTTGATAATGAATTGAAAGAATGGATCTGTCAGACTCGCAGGGAACACATGCCACTTGATAGTATGCTCGTCATGAAATGAGCATCTACCATGATGAACTGAAAACTGAAGGGAACCGTGAAGATTCAACAGGCTGGTTACAGAAATTTAAGAAAAAACATAGCATTCGCTTTTTAAAGATTTCTGGTGATAAAGCATCTGCCGATCATGAAGCAGTGGAGAACTTCATTGATGAGTTCGCCTGGGATAGTGATGATGAAAATTCAACATCAGAACAGGTATAATGCTGAGGAAATACCACTGTTTTGGCATGATTGCCCCAGAAAGACACTACAGCTGTTGAGACAGCCCCTGCAGGATTTAAGGATGCCGAGGGCAGAAAAACTGTAACGGGATGTGTTAATGCAGTAGGCACGTATAGGTATAAATCTGTAGGAGGCAAAAGCTTGCATCCTTCCTGTTTGCAAGAAGTGAATGTCTTACCAGTGCATTATTATGCTAATCAAAAGGCCTGGATCACTCGTGATACCTTTTCTGATTGGTTTCATAAATGTTTTGTACCGGTGCCTTATGCTTATTGCAGGGAAGCTGGACTGAAAGAAGACTGAAAGATTTTGTTATCCATTGACAACTGTTCTCCTTATACTGCAACCGAAATTCTCATAAAAAACAATGTTTATGCCATGTACTTTCACCCAAATGTGACTTCATTAATTCAGCCATGTGACCAGGATATGCTTATATCAGTGAAGGGTAAATATAAAAACACTTTCTTGAACGTCATGCTAGCAGCAGTGAACAGAGGTGTGGGTGTGGGAGGTTTGCAGAAGGCATTTAGCATGAAGGGTGTCTCATATGCTGTTGCCAGGACTTGGCCATCAGTGATGTAAGACGCAGTTGTGCATGCTTGGCATAACCTTTGGCCTGTGACTATTCAGTGGTGGTGGTGGTGATGATGATGATGATGAAGAAGAAGAACAAGGTAGTGACTTGGGATGGATTCCATATATTAAAGTGAGAAAAAAATGATATCTGACCTCCTTTTATATGCAAAAAATACATCTTTCGAGTCTGTCAGTAAACTGAAAGAAGTGGATATCAAGGTAATATTTTTATTACCAAATAATGAAGCTTCAGGTTTTCATTTATTGACCAATGATGAAATAGCTGAAATGATTCTGAATCAAGTGATGATGAAGATGACGTTAACACCGAGGAAGAAATGCCCATAGAAAGAGCACACATTCTGCATATCAAAAGAAACTGTCAACAGAGTAAACGGACAACCTACAGAGTGGAAGGAAATACATACAAACTATGCATCTCACAAAGTTCCAATATCCCGCATCTATAATGAACTTAAATTTATAAGAAAGAAAACAACCTCATTAAAAAGTGAGTGAAGGACACGAACAGACACTTTTCAAAAGAAGACATGCATGCATCCAACAAGCATATGAAAAACACAATGTCACTGATCATTAGAGAAATGCAAATCAAAACCACAATGAGACATGTCTCACACCAGTCAGAATGGCTGTTAAAAAAAAGTCGAAACAGCAGATGCTGGTGAGGTTATGGAGAAAAGCAAGTACTTATATACTGTTGGTGGAAATGTAAATTAATTCACCCATTGTGGAAAGCAGTGTGGTGATTCCTCAAAAAGCTAAAAACAGAGTTGTCATTCAACCCAGCGGTTCCATTACTGAAATTAGGTATTTAACAAAAGGAATAGAAATCATTCTGTCATAAAGACACATACACACATATGTTCATTGCAGTGCTATTCACAGTAGCAAAGACATGGAATCAACCTAAATGCCCATCAGTGGAAGACTGGATAAAGAAAATGTGGTACATATATACTGTGGAATACTCTGCAGCCATAAAAAAGAATGAGAGCATGTCCTTTGTGGTAACATGGATGGAGCTGTAGGCGATCCATTAATATCTAAGGATACTTAGCAAACTAATGCAGGAATAGAACCAAATACCACATGTTCTCACTCGTAAGTGGGAGCTAAATGATGAGAACACATGGACACAAAGAGCAGCAAAACAGACAGTGGGGCCTACTTGAGTGTGGGAGGTGGGAGAGGATCAGAAAAAATAACTGTTGGGTACTAGGCTTAGTAACTGGGTGACCAAATAATCTGTACAACAAACCCCTGTGGCATGAGTTTACCTGTATAACAAACCTGCATGTGTAATCCTGCGCCTAAAATAAAAATTAAAAAAGAATAAAAATTAGGCCGGGTGTGGTGGTGCATGCCTGTAATCCCAGCACTTTGGGAAGCCAAGGTAGGCGGATCACTTGAAGCCAGGAATTCAAGACCAGCCTGGCCAACATGTGAAACCCCATCACTACTAAAAACACAAAAATTAGCCGGGCACAGTGGCACACGCCTGTAATCCCAGCTACTCAGGAGGCTGAGGCATGAGAATTGCTCAAACCTGGGAGGCAGAAGTTGCAGTGAGCTGAGATTGTGCCACTACACTCCAGTCTGGGCAACAGAGCAAGATTCTATCTCAAAAAACATATATAAATAAAAAGGAAAGAAACTAAAAACTAAAACTAAAAATAAATGGAAACAAGCTCCCTCATCCACCCCCCTAAAAAAAATGCTCTTGATGAAAATGTGTAATGGACTTTATTAAAGGATTAGAGCAATATGCATTCATAACACAACAGGAAATCGTGTCAGTTTATAAAGTTGGAGAGAGACTTCTAAGACAAAAACCATTGTTAATGAGTTAGATGACTTGGGAGAAAACATTTACAAAGCCATCTAGCAGAATGCCTCCTCATTACTAAAGGACCTACTTCTGGCCCCTCAAGATGCCTCTGATGTTTCTTCTCACCTAAAAAGAAAATAAAATACAGTGTCCAGTAGCCTTTTAATCAAAACACAGCATCGTAGTTGGAGGCTGAAAGCCTGCAGCTGTTTGTTGTTGCTGCTGTTTAACAGCTGATGTGGGTATTCTGGCGATGCTGCTGTGCTGCTTAGTTCCCCAGAACTCATTGTTTTTCACTGTATTAATGATACATCGTATTTTTTCCTGTTAAGTATTTATGTATGAACAAGTGTAACATAATGATTTCCTATTAATAGCATGTAAATTCCAATTCCGAGTCCGGAATGATGGTGATGCCCAGCAACCACAGATTGTCTACCTGGGTGGCTGAGATAGTGACACTTTTGCTTTTTGGTGGTTCAGTGTACACAAACTTTGTTTCATGCACAAATTTATTTAAAATACAGTATAAAGTTACCTCCGGGCTATATATATAGGTGTATATGAAAGATAAATTTCACGTTTAGCCTTGGATCCCATCCCCAAGATATTATGTACATGCAAATATTTTCCAGCATTTGAAAAAATCCGAAATCGAAACACTCAGGTTCCAGGCATTTTGGATGAGGATTTTGGATGAGGAATACTCATTCCATATTATCTAATACATAGTTCATACTCAGATTTCCCATATGTCAAAAAAACTATTTTTTAGCTGTCAATCCAGGGTCACGTTAAGATTCCACATTGATTTTAGTTGTTACATTCTTTATTTTAATATATACTGAGCTTGATCAGTCTTTTTGTTTTCTGTGACATTGGTGGTTTTGGAAGTGTTTTCAGAAAGTCTCGCATTCTTATAATATCTGATTGTTCCCTCATGATTAGATTCAGACTACAACTATTTTTAGACATGCATTCTTCATGTATGAGGAGTGCTTTTTATTGCATAACATTGCAAAGCACATAATGGTTACTATTTGTAATGTTTACAGACATGCCTTTTTTTAAAGCAGTTAAAACAGTTGCAGAATAGAAACTGGTATGTTCCTCTATTCGTTTAGGTCTTCTTGCCATCTCTCAGCAATGTTTTGTAGTTTTCAGTGTGCAGCTTTTGAAGACCTTTTACATTTATTTCTAAGGAATTCATGGTTTGTGATACTGTGAAAGGAAAATAAAAACTTGGGACCCCCATTTACTATGCCAAAACAAAAAATTCAGCTGAAAGCTGAGTGATGTAAAAAAAAACAACTGCCTTTCCTTTTGTTCTTAAGCAGATAGCTACAGATAAAGTGTTAAATATCTCCACAGGTAGTTACTCTGTTCACCTTACCTTATTTAAGTGCTGACTTACTAAGGATGAGAGAAATACATAATCGACAATTCCCGTACTTGCTCCTTTTCTCTTGCAACATACGGATTCAGTAATGTGACTACACCCTCCCTCTTCCCCCTGCTGCCTGCTTTTCCCCTTTAAATATTGAAGCCCTCAAAATCATATTTGGAGAAAGGCACAAACTTCCCTCTCAGGCATGTCTGTTGTCCTTGGCAAAATAAACTTTTAAATTGATTGAGACCTGTCTCCGATTTCTTTTTGCCTTAGAATACTGTTATTGGGAATGGAATTGAAAATATTTTCCAATATGTTGCTATTATTATATAGAAATACAGCTGCTTTGCGTGTGTTAACATTGGATCCTGTGACCTTGCTAGTTTAGTTTTACTATTAGATTCAGTAGGAATTTTCTGTGTCTATGAATAAAGGTAATGCTTGTTTTCCCCCTTGCCTTTCTATACTGGCTGGGTCCTCCAATATAATGGTGAATAGTAATAATGATAGTTAACATATTTGCCTTATGCCTAATATTAATTAAAAAGAAAGTGTTCTATGTTTCACCAGTAAGTATGATGTTAACTCTTGCTTATTTTAGATGCCCTTTATGGAAATGAAGATGTTTTCTTCTCTTAGTATGTTGTTATTCCTGTTGTTATTAGTGGGTTTTAAATTTTGTCAGATGCTGATTCTACATTTATTGAGATGATCATATTATTTTCCTCCATTCTATAAATAATGGTGCGTTGCATTGATTTTCAAGTATTAAGCTAGTATCGTATTCTTGAGATAAACTCTACTTGGTTATGATACATTACCTCTTTGTATGTTGCTGTATTAGATTTGCTCCTATTTTGTTACTCTTGTGTCTTTGTGTACAAGGGCTATTATCTTGTAATGACTTCGTCAGGTTTTCAAAAGTGGTTATGCTGGCCTCATGAAATGAGTTGGGAAGCATACCCTCTCTCACTTTTTTGAAAAAAAATTTTGTGTAAGACTAGTGTTACTTCTCGCATATTTGAAAAGAGTTCACCAGTGAGCCCATCTGAGTGTGGACTTTTCTTTCTGGGCAGGTTTTTAATAACATTCATTAAGTAACATGGTTTAAAGGTTATTCACACTTTGATATTCTTTTTGGTAGGTTTTCATTTTCACAAAATACTTCTATTTCATCTATTTCTGTAAGAACAGTAGTAATGTCCCCTCTTTCATTCTGATTTTAGTAACTGGAATCTTTTTCTATGGGTCAGTCTAGCCAAAGTTGTGTCAATTTTATTGATCTTTCCAAAGTACTGTTTTGGTTTTCTTGACTTTTCTCTATTGTTTTTCCATTCCTGTTTTACTTGTCTTCACTTTACTTTTTCTTACGTTCTTCCTCCTGCTTGCTTTGGGTTTCATTTGTTCTTTTGTTCTAATTCTTTAAGCTATAAAGTAGCTTTGATTTGAGATGTCTTCTCTTCTAATGTATTCATTTTACATTATAAATTTTCTTCTGAGCACTACTTCTGCTATATCCCACAAATTTTGATAAGTTGTAGTTTCATTTTCATTTACTTCAATTTTTTAACTATTTCTTGAGACTTTTTTGATTCATATGTCATTTAGAGGTGTGTTGTTAAATCTCCAAATATTTGAGGACTTCGCAGATATCTTCCTGCTACTGATTTCTAATTTATTTTTTTTGTGATCTGAGAACATGCCTTGCATGCTTTCCATCTTTTAAAACAAGGTATGTTATATGCTCCAGAATGTGGTCAGGGTTAAGGAATGTTCCATACTAGTTTGGGGAAAATGTTGATTTTGATGTTGTTGGATGTAGTATTTTTTCTCTTGGTTGAATATCTGGGATTTTAATGTGTACCTTATCAGGCAAATACATATATGTACAACAAAAAAAGTAAATAGCTTACAGTGAATTGTATGCAGCACAGTACTCATGCTCAAAGCAATATACAGAAGTCTTTAAAGTAGTTGGTGCTCACAGGCAGAGAATGTAATACAGTCAACTGTTATGCTTCTGTGGACATTTCTTTCAATAGCAGTTACTCTCAGACTTGGCGAAGGATCCATTGTCAACTCTGTGCCACCAAGACCTTCTCTCTCTCTTCCCTGTCCCTGACACATCATTTAGATGGTCCCTAATTTCAAGGAAATGTAAAGCTGTTCCTTTCACAGAAATTACTAAAAATGATTTCTACTGGACATATGATAGGATAATATATTACTGTCTTGGTAGTGCTTTAATTTGGCTACAAATGACTAACAGACAAATATCTTTACACATATGTGTAGTGATAAATTTAGCTTTATTGTGAAGTATGGGTGGAATAATTGTGATAAATTTAGCTCTTGTTTTGCTTTTGTGTCTCAAATATATTGTGGTATGGCCTCATCCACTGAACAAAGTCTTTTTTTTTTTTTTTTAATACTTTAAGTTCCAGGGTACATGTGCACAACGTGCAGGTTTGTTACATATGTATACATGTGCTATGTTGGTGTGCTGCACCCGTTAACTTGTCATTTACATTAGGTATATCTCCTAATGCTATCCCTCCGCCCTCCCCGCTCCCCACAATAGGCCCCCGTGTGCGATGTTCCCCTTCCTGTGTCCAAGTGATCTCATTGCTGAACAAAGTCTTTTAAAAATCAAAGATAGCCTTTTTTGTTTGTTTGTCACTCATTGCCACAAATGTGACCTTGTAATTCTTTTTTTTTTTTACATTTTTAAAATTTTTTAATTTTTTTTTTTTGAGACGGAATCTCACTCTGTCATCCAGGCTGGAGTGCAGTGGCCGGATCTCAGCTCACTGCAAGCTCCACCTCCCGGGTTCACGCCATTCTCCTGCCTCAGCCTCCCTAGTAGCTGGGACTACAGGCGCCCACCACCACCCCCAGCTAGTTTTTTGTATTTTTGGTAGAGACGGGGTTTCACCATGTTAGCCAGGATAGTCTCGATCTCCTGACCTCATGATCCGCCTGCCTTGGCCTCCCAAAGTGCTGGGATTACAGGTGCGAGCCACCGCACCTGGCGACCTTGTAATTGTTTATGTTTTCAAGTTTTCTTCCTTTCTCTCCCTCTTCCCTCAGCTTCAGCTTTGTAAATGCCTTTGAGTCTTTTGGGGGGAATAATTAAATGAATTGCTTGGTGTTCTCTTTATGGAAGTAGCCGTTAAGTTTTTTGTTGTTGTTTTTATGATAATGATGACTTCCTATTACTTCCAGTCTGACCCTAGACATGGATTTCTCTAGGAATATACTGGCATTTTGGCTGTCTACCCAGCTGTTGCTTCCATTTGCTTATTCCTTGAGAGTAAGGCAATTAATAACTTACGCTTGTCTTTATGTTCCAGCCTGAAAGAATAGACCCAAGCGCATCTCGACAAGGATATGATGTCCGCTCTGATGTCTGGAGTTTGGGGATCACATTGGTATGTTTATGCTGATTCAACCTTGCCACAGTAGTGTAACAATAAGAAATTTAGAAGTGAAAGAAAACTTAATGAGACTTCCCCCCTCATTAAGAACTATAATTACAGATACTATGATTTTAAGTTGCTGGAAAAAGAAAAAGTATGTATTTATTTACCTTAAAAATCAAATCAGACTTGATTATTTCCCTTGAAGTTATGTGAAGTGTCTAGAGCCCTTTAATGTTTTAGCTGGATCTCTTGGCCACAGATAATAGGAGTCAACTATTACCTGCAACTGCACTAAGAATTGGAAAAGGAGAAGCCAGCTTACCTGCAGTCAATTCTTTGATGAAGGCACATCGGCTTCTCCCTTTTCAGGCAAGGTGTAGTATGTCCAGTAGTACTGTATATAGTGCATATATTAATTATACATATTTTTATATGTAGAAAATAGTTTCTACTTGGAATTTTCACTGAATAGAAAAATGACAAGTGAATGAGCTGAAAGTAATTCAGTTTTTGAGGGACAGTATATTAGTCCATTCTCACACTACTGTAAAGAATTACATGAGACTGGGTAATTTATGAAGAAGAGAGGTTTAATTGCCTCACAGTTACGCAGGTCATACAGGAGCAAGGCAGAGAGAAAGCGAAGGGAAAGGTGCCAGACGCTTTTAAACAACCAGGTCTCATGAGAACTCTATCATGAGACAGCACTAGGGGGATGGTGCATTAGAAACCACCCTCATGACCCAGTCACCTCCCACCAGGCCGCTCCTTCAACACGTAGGGATTACAATTCGACATGAAATTTGGGCGGGGACACAGGGCCAAACCATACCAAACAAGAACTACCTAGGTGATAATTCTAAATGAAAGTTCTACCTTAGAACAACACTGAGAAAGACTAATAAGAAAACTACTTAATTTGCAACAAGCAAACGCAATTATATAAACTCTTCCTTCTTACCTATGGACTCTATTGAAATTTTGGTTTCATTTAAAATATCTGTATCAGTTCAGGCTGCTCTAACCAAATGCTGACCTCTGGGCTATAATCTTACCAAGAACAGAAATTTCTCACAGTCTCGGAGGCTGGGAAGTCCAACTTAGGCACTGACAGATTTGGTGGCTAGTGAGGGCTTGCTTCCTGGTTCATAAACAGCCATCTTCTTGGTGTGGTCTCACATGGTAGAAGGGGCAAGAGAGCTGTCTGGGGTCTTTCTAACAAGGGCACTGATTAGATTCATGAGGGTTCCACCCTCGTGACCCCATCACTTCCCAAAGATCCACCACCAAATACCATCGCATTAGGGATTAGGCTTCAACATATGAATTCGTTGTGGGGTGGGGACACACACACATTCAGTCTCTAGCAGTATCTTTGCTCATTTCCTTTTTACCAAATTTTGTTTTGAGGTCTTAGGTTTGTTTTCTTGTGCTTGCTGTTCTACGAGGACTTGCTGGGTTTTTCTGATTTGGGGTAGCTTCTTTAGCTGCTTCTACATTGAAGGTGAATTTTGTATCCCTAGATGAGGCTGTCCTGTAGGTAGGCAGGCCAATCCTATTCTTTCATTTTCTGCCATTTTCAGTTTTTACTACCTAAGACTCTGTAGCCCAGAAATACACAGGTTCAGAGCATTGAGCTTTTTTTGTAGCTTATTAAATAATCTTCGTGTGTTCATTGGTGTTATATGTTTCTAGGATCTTCTCTGTCATCAGAAACACATACCCTTGTTAGTTATTCTTGATGAATCATATTGCCAGGCCTAGAGACTTCTTTGTATAGAGAGTTGAAGGCTGACAGCTCACTTCTGCAGAGGACTTTGTTTACTTTACTTTGTGACCAAATATAGGAAATACCTTCTGGAATCTTTTCTCATTGTGAAGCCAACCAGCTAAAGAAGAGATTCTTTCTTCTTTAGACAGGAGCGAACATGGATCTTGGGCATCTTTTAGGTTTGGCAGCTGGTCCCAAAGACTGCAGCAAGACCTACAGCTTCCAGCTGAGGCAACTATTTGCATATACAGGATATTTACAATTCAGAAATACTTATCTATGACTAAACAATTACATTTTAAAAGCAAGTATGTACTTTTTTACAGAAAGAAAATTTTGTTTTGTGAAAGGTTTTAACAAAATTTTTTAGCAAGTTTAAGTACTTTTAGCTAAACCTTGTTGTTTGAAAGGTATTCTGTACTTACAGTTCATAATTTATTTTTCATAAGGATAATCTTATAAAAATTATGAAATGTATGAAATTAATTTCTAAGATCCTAAGTCCTTTATTTTATGATATGCAGCCAATTTTTCTTTCTATTATTAAAACACAGGAAGGAATCTAATGAAGTTATTCCTAATTCTGTGAATAACCAGGAAGGTTTACATCTTGAAAAGCATTTATACTTTTAACAAAAAGAAACCTCAGCTGAAGGAATACATTTTTCTGTGTGTGTATGCATGAATGCCTGCTTACTTTTGTGCACACATGTGTGTAATTAGAAACAACAGTGAGCTGACAGAGGCATCTTTTAGGAAGGAAACGGAATCAGTGTTCTGAGAGTTCTTTTTCTCTTCCTGTATGCCATCTTCCTCTGTAATATGTTTGGAGCCTCATCCTCATGTATCCGTCCCCTGTCAGTGCATGTAAAATGGGATTCATTATGCGATGGTGCAGATTTAGATATGTTTCTTGGAAAAAAAACAAAATTTGTAGTGTTTTGTTTTGTTTTGTTTTTGAGGCAGAGTCTCGCTCTGTCACCCAGACTGGAGTGCAGTGGCATGATCTTGGCTCACTGCAGGCTCCGCCTCCCAGGTTCATGCCATTTTCCTGTCTCAGTGTCCAGAGTAGCTGGGACTACAGGCGCCCGCCACCATGCCCGGCTAATTTTTTTTTTTTTTGTATTTTTTAGTAGAGATGGGGTTTCACTGTGTTAGCCAGGATGATCTCGATCTCCTGACCTCGTGATCCACCCGCCTCGGCCTCCCAAAGTGCTGGGATTACAGGCATGAGCCACCGCGCCCAGCCTAATTTGTAGGTTTTCATTATTTCTCAGAGCAGAAAGGGAGATAGATGAGAATATGATTCACTGGTTATTAGAGAATATTTTTGACCCTTGATGGGATTGGGACATACGTAAGACACTTCAGATCTCTTCTGGTGTGGCTTAGAAGTACTGTCCAGAGCCCTTTACTGGGGCTTCAGGGTGCAGGGTTTGACCCTGACTTGATTTCTTCACTACTTGTAAAATTTGGTTATGGTTGAAATTGCAGTAGTTACAGAATAGCTGTAGAGCAGGATTTGCACATTGTTTCCTCGAAGCTCAGATTGGGCTTTTGTTTGTTGGATGTTCTTTTGCCTTAAAAAAGAATCTAACCACTATTCTGGACCAAGGCCTTCCTCTAAGATGGCTAAAAGTTGTGCATATTCTATACTAAAATAGTTCTAAAACCAGTCTTCCAGACTTTCTCACAAAGAAGTCAGACCCAGAGGCCGCCCTGGAGCATGCATTGTAGGGACATTGTCTAGGCTTAAGTTTTGTGTTCCCGTGTATTCCAAGTCCTTGAATTTGGTTAATTCAGAATTCTCTATATGATCTTGATTTCTAAATATAACTTCTACTTAGCCTTTATGATTCTAAAGATTCCTCCCCAGACTAACCTGTGTTTAATTCAAGGCTTTACAAGAGTATTGCTTGTAGTTTAGATTTTTTCGTGGCCATTCCAGTGGAGAGTAGTAAATAATGCCTGGTGTATTTTGCTCTTTCCTCTTTGTTCTCTTTAGTATGAGTTGGCCACAGGCCGATTTCCTTATCCAAAGTGGAATAGTGTATTTGATCAACTAACACAAGTCGTGAAAGGAGATCCTCCGCAGCTGAGTAATTCTGAGGAAAGGGAATTCTCCCCAAGTTTCATCAACTTTGTCAACTTGTGGTGAGTACCTGATTTATGAATGGTCGAACATGCATGGTGAGAATAGTGAGATTTACTTGGTCTTAGCAGCACATGGAGGAAGGGGACCCTTGGTCACATCACCGTGCTTTTTAAGCTGGGACTCTGGATCACTGTGGCTGTATGGAAGGTTACAGCTAGCTGGGAGAGGCATCACCTTCTTATTCTGCTACTCAGGTATTGGCGAAAAACAGCCATGAGTGGTGGAGAAGCTGCTGTCTCCAGACTTCCAGTACCCTGGTACAAGAAATACCAGGTTAAACTTCTAGGTGAGACTGATCATCTTACTCTAATGTGGTTCTCACAATGCAGTTGCACCAAAATCACCTGGAAGCGTTTACTGAATCAAGACCTTGCCAGATCAGACTTTCAGGGTTGGATCTGTGTTCTGACATAACATAGAAATCAGTTGGGTTTATGTAGTACGGTCACATCCACATGCAAAGTGTAGTTGGTAGAACTATATATCTTTGCTCTCTGAAACCTTACTCCAAGGAAGGTGTGAACCCCACACCTGTTGTTGTTTGTCCACCTTTCTAATAGTTTGTTGTGTGTGTGTGTATATGCAGCACCTAAGAATAAACGTATGCATATATGGAAGAAATATAATCATGCTTTATACTGTTTCAGTCTCTATTTTAAATAAAATATTTCTGTGTTATCATTTGAATATTTTGACATTTATTGTGTTTATCCAACATGATTTAAATGTAAGACATGGTATGAACAAAAAGCCTCAGAGCATTTTGTGTATCTTCTGTTTATTCCTGAAAATACCTTTTTGTTTCTCATAATTTTTTCCTGCCAAGAATGCGATTTCTCTCTACTCATTTTAGGTCTTATAGACTTATATTAGGGAACATTGCCCTCCTCTGTATGAAAAATTTAAAAATACTTGTTTGACTATAGTTTTTAAGTCTCTTTCATCTTCTGTAACCAAATTCTACTTTTGTGTTGATTTTTCAGAGGGGAGAGGAATACTTCAAGATTTTCTAGGTAGAAGAAGGACATAAGGATGACTCAAATTGGCTGCTTCCTCCTTTTAAAACACAATCCTTCATTAATTTGCACACAATATGGATAGTTTATAATTGCATAAATGTGATCATTTTATGTATTTCATTTTTATGAAATATTTGCTTAAAAGGATCTGTATAAGTCTTAGAGTATAATATCTAAAATGATCACCTGTGAACCTTCCATCATGGTTGCTTTCTTTTTAATTCCTTGATATCTTTATTGGTTTTGTTCTGTATGTGTTGGTACTTGTACATGTTTATTTCTGTTTCCCTTGATGCCGTAGTAGAGTGACAGTTTTAGACATTAGAGTCTCATTGTTTTCCCTGAGTAGGTTCATAGTTCCATGTCATTGCAAATCGTTAACGTCTACATTGAAGGATACTTATGTTTATAATATGCTCATATTAGCTCTCCGTATTTGTCCATTCTTTCTGCCACTCTTTGTCTTGGACATTGCCTGTAATCTCTGACCTGGATCATTCAGATTTCTCATAATCCAATATTGCCTTATTCCAAATTATTCCCCTTTTTATTAGAGTTGAATTTTTTATGATGTGTATCTGATCATGTTACTTCTCTGTCTAAAGTATGCATTCTTAACAGGGTGATATTGACCCTAAGGAGGCAAAAATTGATTTTGGAGAAATGAAAATCTTGGATTGTATAATGGTTTTTAGTCCTCCAAAGGGCCATAGAATATAAACAGATATGCACTATATCTGTCGTATTTAAATTTCATGATGGGGAGGATAAGTAATGAAAAAAAAATTGAGAAATATTATTCTAGAAACTTCATCTTATCCTTAAAATTAATTAATTTAGGCTTTCAGAACCCATAATGATCTGGACTTAGTTTATTGCTCTGGCCACATTTCTTTTTTTTTTTTTCTGAGATGGAGTCTCACTCAGTTACCCAGGTTGGAGTGTAATGACGTGGTCTCCGCTTACTGCAGCCTCCACCTCCTGGGTTCAAACGATTCTCCTGCCTCAGTCTCCTGAGTACTGCTGGGATTACAGGCACCTGCCACCGCACCCGGCTAATTTTTTGTATTATTATTACTATTTTTTTTAGTAGAGACGGTTTTCACCGTGTTGGCCAGGCTGGTCTCGAACTTCTGACCTCGTGATCCACCCACCTTGACCTCCCAGAGCGCTGGCATTACAGACATGAGCCACTGCACCTGGCTCGCTGTGGCCGGATTTCTTATGACTTCCCTCTCCTTGAATGGTTTTTGCCAAACTGAATTTCTTCAGTTATGTAAATTAAAAGCACATAGAGGATAATATGGGAGAATATTTTCATTACGTTTGGGTAAAGATTTCTGAAACAGAATGTAGAGAAAGATTGATAAAATTGGATTTCATTAAAATTAGGAACTTCCATTGATTAAAAAGACAGCGCTGAATGACGTGCCAAGCCACACATTAGGAGTTATTTTTCATACCTATATTCGACAAAGGACTTACACAGAATATGTAAAGAATACTTAAAAATGTAGAACACTTATGAAAAATAACAACCAAAAATAACAAAATACTTGAAAGGCACTTAAAATATTCAAGAGGCCAGTAAACATATTCAGTGTGCTGCCTTCATTCTGCATTATTAGTAATCAGGGGAAATGCAGGTCAAAACTACAATGAAATACCACTATAATCACCAGAATGACCACAGTTTAAAATACTGACAGTAGCAAGTATTGATGAGGATCTGAAGCAACTGAAAGTCTCATACATAACTTGTAGGAGTATAAATTAGTACAGTTCCCGTGAAAAACAAGCAGTAATCCAGTATAGCTGATCTAATATGGTTGATGTATACACCATGGTTCAGCAATTCAGGTTCTAACTATATACCCAACAAAAGTGTGGACATAAATACACTAAAAGACATATATAAGAATGTCCAGAAAAGCAGATTTATAACCTACTATTGGAAACTCTTTGTACAGTAGAACAGATAATAAGTTGTAGCATTATGTATACAGCGGTATATGGCATCGAGAAGATAGAACCATTGCTTCACTCAGCAACTTCAGTAAATCTCACGACTGATGTTGAGTGAAAGAAGTAAGACAGAAAGCAGCATGTATGGTTCTATTTCTATATGAAAGTTAAAAGCAAACAATGTAAGGTATTGGAAGTCAGAATATTGTTACTTTTATTTTAGTTCTGCACTTAGGAGTTGTGTTTTCTGTGTGTCTGCTTCAATTAAAAGTTTTCCTAAGATAAAAAAAAAAGGATAAGACTTATGGTTCAAAAGGAAGACCTTGCCGGCTGAGGTGTCTGAGCCCCCGGCATTAGGAAATGGTTGACTCATGGGTTGATAAAAAGAATTTACAGACAACAGTATAGTTTTGAAAAAGGAAAGTTTATTAGAAAGAAAGCATGCTGCAGAAGAGTGCAGCGGGGCACTGAGCATGCCACAGTGAATTTTTCCTTAGGGGTATTTATGGACCTTAAAGCTTGAGGGTAATTTGGACCATATTATCCATGTAGGTCACAATAAATGATTACATTTGTAGTAATTTTTTCCTTAAAGTCAGCAAGTGTTGCACAGTGAATTTCAACATGGCATTCTGAAGATGTATAGAAATTCTAGTTACTTATAAAGTTTTTTGGGGGAAAAAAATCTGAAACCAATGCCTGCTTTAGATAATAGGGAAGTCTAATTACTTTTTGGTTTTTTTTGTTTTTGTTTTTCATATGGAATCTCGCTCTGTCGCCTAGGTGGGAGTACAGTGGCGCGATCTCAGCTCACTGTAACCTCCACCTCACAGGTTCAAGCTATTCTCCTGCCTCAGCCTCCCAAGTAGCTGGGACTACAGGCACATGCCACCATGCCTGGCTAATTTTTGTATGTTTAATAGAGATGGGGTTTCACCACATTGGCCAGGCTGGTCTTGAACCGCTGACCTCAAGTAATCCACCTGCCTCGGCCTCCCAAAGTCCTGGGATTACAGGCATGAGCCACTGTGCCAGGCTGGGAAGTCTAATTCTAATTTTCCCCAGATGAGGAATTTTGCCTCCAGATTGCCTGTTTGATAGTCATTGGGTGGTTTTTGCTCCCTTCTAAATTCCTCAGATAAGGAGTTTTTGTCTCTGGGTCCTGTTCAGTGGTCACCAAGTGATATTGCTCTCCTCAGATCTCAGCCCACATTTTAAACTGTGACCCAGATTGGAGTGCAGTGGCATGATCGCAGCTTACTGCAACCTCAACTTCCCAGGCTCAGGCGATCCTCCCGTCTCAGCCCCCCAAGTAGCTGGGACTACAGCAGTGTGCCACTATACCTGGCTAATTTCTTTTTTTTTTTTTTTTTTTTTTTTTGGAGACAGAGTCTTGCTCTTGTTGCCCAGGCTGGAGTGCAATGGCACAATCTCGGCTCACTGCAACCTCCACCTCCCGGTTTCAAGCGATTCTCCTGCCTTAGCCTCCAAGTAGCTGAATTACAGGCATGTACCACCACACCTGGCTAATTTTGTATTTTTACTAGAGTTGGGGTTTCTCCATGTTGGTCAGGTTGGTCAGCTCCCGACCTCAGGTGATCCGCCCGCCTCGGCCTCCCAAAGTGCTGGGATTATAGGTGTGAGCCACTGCACCTGGCCCACCTGGCTAATTTCTTAAAACAAATTTTGTAGATACTGTATTTCACTGTATTACCAGGTTGGTCTTAAACTCCTACGCTTACGCGATCCTCCTGCCTCGGCCTCCTGGAGTATTGGGATTACAGGCGTGAGTCACTGTACCTGGCCTGGATAAGCATTTTAAAGTGCCATTTATTTATTTAGGACAGAGTCTGGCTCCATTGCCCAGGCTGGAGTGCAGTGGCGTGATCTTGGCTCACTGCAGCCTTCACCTCCTGGGTTCAAGAGATTGTCCTGCCTCAGCCTCCTGAGTAACTGGGACTACAGGCACGCACCACCATGCCCAGCTAATTTTTGCATTTTTAGTACAGACAGGGTTTCGCCACGTTGGCCAGGCTAGTCTTGAACTCCTGATCTCAGGTGATCCGCCTGCCTCAGCCTCCCAAAGTTCTGGCATTACAGGGATGAACCACCGTGCCCCACCTAAAGTCCCTTTTAAAATGTAAAAGAGTTGGTGCAAAACTGAGGAATCCATGGAGCTCTGAGATTGACTGAAATTCAGGGAGGGAAATTATGGGAGAGAAGGAAGAGTCAAAGTAAATTATGATAACCCAAGCAAATGTAGATTTGCTGTCTAAATTCATATTGTATATAGTAAAAATACTTAGAGAATTTAATTTTAAGAAAAATTACTTTTCAAAGTCCCTGGTTGGAAAGATACCCTCCTCTTGCCCCCAGTTGATGGGCAGAAGCGAAAGCAAATCATTCAGCCTAGGACTAAATGATTCCAAAAAATAAAGTTAAGTGGAATATGTAGTCCACAAAAAAATTTCAGCACTCACAAAAGAAATGAGAATCAGAAACAATGGATAGTAGGAATAGATCTGCAGAGACTTCAAATATTGGAATGAAAGGAAACAAAAAATATGTAAGCGTAAAGAAAAACAGAGAGGCAGCTGAGAAATATAAGCAGGGAACACATTTATAAAGAACCAAATAGAACTTCTAGAAATAAAAAGCATAAATTAAAACAATAGCTGGATTCAACAGATTAGATATCGTTGAAGAGAGATTAATGAGCTAGAAGATAGAGCTGAAGCTCTCCCAGTAGAACTTTTTGAGGTGATGGAAATGGCCTACATTCTGCTCTGTCTAGTGTGGTAGCTGCTAGCATTTAAAATGTGGCTAATGTAACTAAGGAAATACATATTTTATTAGAATTAATTTTGCTAATGGCTACCTTGTTAGTCTAAGGGGAGCTAATATAATTATTGATAACAGATGATTAATGTCAGCTGTAATTTAGAAACAGAAGACAGTCAATGTTAATAGTTTAAGATTTCCACTCAAATAGCATCATAGGTTTATACACTGACATAATTTTCTGCTCCAGTAGATGAAATAGAAAAACACAAAACCAGAAAGGTATGGCAGCTTTACAAAGAAGGCAAATATCTGTGTGGGTGAAAAATGCAACAAAAATACTTACAAAATGCTGTGTAGATCTGAAGCCATGGGCTTGCTGTATTCCAGGTCATTTTTCATTCTGGAAAATGAAAAAAATGATTTCAGTTACTTCCTGGGCCACAGCTTTAAGCAAGCTATGGTACTACACAACAACAAGGCTTTAGATACCAATTTTGCAACCAGAGGACTGGAACTGTGATTGTCCTAATACCAACATAGGAGTGGAACTTGAAAGGTCCATTATAGGACCCTGTTCAATACTGGTGGCCCTGTGAAATAGAGGCAACTGTAAAACTGCTCTATATGTGTATCCCTAGCTCCCAGTTCAGTTCATAGTGATCAGTAGGGCACTCAGACATTTGTTGAACAAATGTATGGATATGCGTGGAGGGTAAGCATGTTACTTCAAAATGAGTCTGCAAATCAAAATTCCTAAATACTGAAGGGTAATGCGAAGAAAGCATTTAACAAAATGGAACAGAAACTTACTTTAAGTTGAAATAGATATCTGAAATTGTCTGAAATATGCTGTAAAAGAAAATCAGTATATTTAGGTTGCTCAAGGAAATAAAGGTATAAATTCAATTAAAACTGAGGAAGAAACAAATGAAGCAGTTGGAAATAGAAGTCTTGGAAATGGAAAAATCATAGCTGTTGATATGAAAGACACAACAGACTTGATGTACTCTAGACTGGAAATAATCGAAGGCAAAATTAGAGAAATAGAAAATGGAGCTGAGAAGTTCCCCCAGCATGATACAGATTATATGAAAAGCAGTAAAGAATCGGAATAGAATACCAAGTAAGAGATTCTAAGATGCATGTAATGGAAATAGAGAAGGCAACTCTGAAAGTGGAGAAGCAATATCTACAGAGATCATCGGGGAAAGAAAACATTTGAAAACTGATTTAGTATAGGTTTTCAGATTGAAAGTGAAGTCTGTTTATCATGTAGGATAAACAAAGGTAAAAGCTTAAAGGTAAATTTTAATTGATATTGTGCAATTTTGCTTCAATGCATAAATGATGAAAAAGGTATAAACAAAGGTATAAGGTACATAAACTTATACCTTTGTTTCTCATTTATGCATTGAAGCAAAATTATCAAACAATATCAGGAAGAGAAAACAGATTATCTGTTAAGGATTGATAGAACTGACAGCAGATTTGTTCCCAGCCACAATAGTTGCAGGAAAAAGTGGAGTCACAGCACCAGAGTGCTGAGGGAAAATAATTGTCAACCTGGTCCTAAAGTTTTATACTCAAGCACTCAAATATTCACAATAAGGAAGAAATACAGACATTTTTAGGAATGGGAAGACTGTGAGCTTACAATTCATAGACTGTTTTGATCCTTGAATGGTGTGGAGGTTAGGGATGCTGACCGCCTGTTCAGTCAAAAATCTGCATATAACTTTTGATTACCCCAAAACTTGACTACTAACAAATAGCCTACTGTCGACCAGAAGCCTTGCTGATAACATAGTCAATTAACATAACGTTTTGTATATGTATTATGTACTGCATTGTTACAATGAAGTAAGCTAGAGAAAAGAAAATATTATTAAGAAAATCATAAGGAAGAGAAAATACATTATTCAGTAAGTGAAAGTGGATCGTCATAAAGATCTTCATCTTTGTCTTCACATTGAATAGACTGAGGAGGAGGAGGAGTTGGTCTTGCTATCTCGGGTGGCAGAGGCAGAATAAAAATTCACATATAAGTGGATTTGTACAGTTCAAATCTGTGTTGCTCAAGGGCCAACTGTACTTGGCCAAGAAGAAGAGTTAACCCAGAAGAAGGATGTCACGAGTTGGATACCTGGAAAGCAGGCTTTTGAGACAGAGATAAGAGTGTAGGACGTTGACTAGGTAGTGATCTTGGGATCAACACTAGCAATGAGAAGGAAACGAGATTGAGCAGAAGAAGCTGAGTTGCAGCACCGTGTCGGTGAAAGCCTCAGGCAACTCTGGGAATCTGTGAAGCTGGGAGGGCCTTTAGTATTGATCCGCCTTGGAATGAGGAGGACCTTGGATTTTTTATACACTTTTGTGGCTCAGTCATTAGAGACGGACTGTCCCAGGTGGGCTAAGGTGGCTCTCTTTAGCTGTGGTAATTCTGAAGAGGCTGATAGTAAAGGGTTGTCAGCTGGTAGCATGCCCCACAGTGGAAGAATAAGTCCTTCCTCCTCAAAGAGGGAATCTACATAGCACATTGCAGTATCCATTACAGAAAGTAGGATATGGAAAACAGCAATGAGTTTAGAAAGAGGTGAACTATGTTACCCATATTCATGTTTGATAGTAAAATACTGAGGCTGGAAGGGAATGGTGATTAAGATACGGGCCAAGATAGATGAAGTAAATATAAACAAAATGAAAATACTTTTGGCAGCTTTAATTAGGCCAGGTAGAATTCAAGGAGACAAGGAGAAAATGTCAACAGGGCAGAGATTTGTATATACTGATGTAGTCTTTAGTGAATTTATATTGTTTTAGACTTTTGGACCAAAGAACATATTGAGATACAGAGTATAAACTTTTTTAAACTTAAGGATAAATTGATAAAAATGTATATGTAATTTATCTCCCAGAATTACTTGATTGCTGGTTTCTCTTGAGTAGCCTTTGCATAAATACCTGTCTACTTTTTTATTTACATTTAGAAAAGCATATATGTACACAAATAATTTTATACTTGTACAACATTTATATATTTAACTAGTGTTGTGTAGCTATGCCATAATTTAGTCAATTTTCAAGAATTAGTATTTTTCTAATTTTTAACTAATCATCCTACACTGACTATCCTAGAGATAAATCTTCAGATTATAGACTGTCATAATTTTTTGTATGTGCTTTACTGTGTTTAGCAGGCTGTCTGCATTGTTACTTTGGATCTGAAGGAAAGAACTATTTCATTCTTTATAATATTTCATCTGTGAAAAGAAAAATACTTAGGCAAATGAATCTACATTTTAATAATGTTATTTTTCTGTTATTTTAGCCTTACGAAGGATGAATCCAAAAGGCCAAAGTATAAAGAGCTTCTGGTGAGTGTGGGACTGTGGGGATTGTAGGTACATCCTCACACCGGAACTCTCTTAATGTGCTGGTTCACTAAGCAAGCAGTGGGCCTCTGTGTCATAAACAAACATCTCAACTTTATTGAGTTTTTTTTGTTAATGTTTTTAAACAAATATTTGGAAAGAGAAAATTTGTAGTTATAATTTTTCTACTAATACTAGCTAAATTCTCATGGAAAATTTTGGTCTTAACATGTTATAAAAATTACCTCCAGAGAATTCTGACTTTCACTTTAAGAAGCCATTTTCCATTGCATAGTCTATGTGATGCAGCCATAAGAAAAAAATTAGTGAAAAGTTTGTGTTTATTCTGCCCTTATAAAAACTCACACAAATTTACATCATACGGCCTATTCCCATTTCTTTGAAAGTTCTCATTCATCCCATGGAACTTGGGTGTTTTAAGCAGTCTGCTGGGTGTGGCATTGGTAGGGCAGTGGAGAAAGAATTGTGATCTAATAATGTGGGAATATTTTAAGAAAAGATCCATTTGTTTGTCACATTTAACTACTAGCTCTCCGAGGATGTTGTGACAAACTTACGATATTGCAGTCCATCAATGACTGTAAACACATCCAGTCAGCGTACTTAGGCTATAAAAGAAAACTGTTGGTAGAGGTGGAGTTTAAAAGGTGAAGCAGATGCTGGGGCCCTGGCTCTGGAGAGTACAGGGAAGAAGCTCCTGGGGCAAATTTTTCTTAGGCCTCTTTTGGTCAAAAGGATTACAACCTTTTTGTTAAGAGGTCGAAAGGATTGCGACCTTTTTGTAAAAAGGTCCTCCTGTTGTATATGGGGGAAATGGAGGTTGAGATTTATACTGGTGTCCCAAGAGGAATAGCGACTGGTATTTACGTCATTCTTCTTAGCTCTTAGATGGTGTAGTGGAGACGCCAGCTATGTTTTGTGCTGAGTAACAACTTAGCTGTCTCCCTCAACAAACACTCCGTGGTACACAGATAAGTTTCCAGACCTCGCTGCCAAGGTGGCACCTTCAAATCATTACCACGTATCCTCTCCAGGCCTGCCCACGCCCATTAGCATATCTGCATGGAATAAAGGCTGTACTCACCTCTCTGAACTTGTGGTGTTGCAGTATTTCACAGCTGTGTGTGGTTGGGAGCCTGGAGTTCTATGTTCTATAGAAATTGGAAAATGTTCAGTTTGGGCTGTCATACAAACTTTTGACTTTTTTGTTTACAATTTTCTTACAGAAACATCCCTTTATTTTGATGTATGAAGAACGTGCCGTTGAGGTCGCATGCTATGTTTGTAAAATCCTGGATCAAATGCCAGCTACTCCCAGCTCTCCCATGTATGTCGATTGATATCGCTGCTACATCAGACTCTAGAAAAAAGGGCTGAGAGGAAGCAAGACGTAAAGAATTTTCATCCCGTATCACAGTGTTTTTATTGCTCGCCCAGACACCATGTGCAATAAGATTGGTGTTCGTTTCCATCATGTCTGTATACTCCTGTCACCTAGAACGTGCATCCTTGTAATACCTGACTGATCACGCGGTGTGAGTGCTGGTCAGAGAGACCTCATCCTGCTCTTTTGTGATGAACATATTCATGAAATGTGGAAGTCAGTACGATCAAGTTGTTGACTGTGATTAGATCACATCTTAAATTCATTTCTAGACTCAAAACCTGGAGATGCAGCTACTGGAATGGTGTTTTGTCAGACGTCCAAATCCTGGAAGGACACGGTGATGGGTGTACTATGTCTGAACTTAGAAACTCGGGCTTGAGTGAGAAGAGCTTGCACAGCCAATGAGACACATTGCCTTCTGGAGCTGGGAGACAAAGGAGGAATTTACTTTCTTCACCAAGTGCAATAGATTTACTGATGTGATATTCTGTTGCTTTACAGTTACAGTTGATGTTTGGGGATCGATGTGCTCAGCCAAATTTCCTGTTTGAAATATCATGTTAAATTAGAATGAATTTATCTTTACCAAAAACCATGTTGCGTTCGAAGAGGTGAACATTAAAATATTGAGACAGGACAGAATGTGTTCTTTTCTCCTTTACCAGTCCTACTTTTCATTGGGAAGACTCAGGAGTCTGCCACTTGTCAAAGAAGGTGCTGATCCTAAGAATTTTTCATTCTCAGAATTCGGTGTGCTGCCAACTTGATGTTCCACCTGCCACAAACCACCAGGACTGAAAGAAGAAAACAGTACAGAAGGCAAAGTTTACAGATGTTTTTAATTGTAGTATTTTATCTGGAACAACTTATAGCAGCTATATATTTCCCCTTGGTCCCAAGCCTGATACTTTAGCCATCATAACTCACTAACAGGGAGAAGTAGCTAGTAGCAATGTGCCTTGATTGATTAGATAAAGATTTCTAGTAGGCAGCAAAAGACCAAATCTCAGTTGTTTGCTTCTTGCCATCACTGGTCCAGGTCTTCAGTTTCTGAATCTCTTTCCCTTCCCTTGTGGTCTATTGTCGCTATGTGACTTTCGCTTAATCCAATATTTTGCCTTTTTTCTATATCAAAAAACCTTTACAGTTAGCAGGGATGTTCCTTACCGAGGATTTTTAGCCCCAAATCTCTCATATGCGCTGGTGTTTAAAAGGCTAAGAATAGTGGGGCCCAGCCGATGTGGTAGGTGATAAAGAGGCATCTTTTCTAGAGACACATTGGACCAGATGAGGATCTGAAATGGCAGCCTTTACCTTCATCACCTGCTAGAACCTCTCCTAGTCCGCCACCATTTCTTGGCATTGGAATTCTACTGGAAAAAAATACAAAAAGCAAAACAAAACCCTCAGCACTGTTACAAGAGGCCATTTAAGTATCTTGTGCTTCTTCACTTACCCGTTAGCCAGGTTCTCATTAGGTTTTGCTTGGGCCTCCCTGGCACTGAACCTTAGGCTTTGTATGACAGTGAAGCAGCACGGTGAGTGGTTCAGGCACACTGGAATATAAAACGGCCATGGCCTGAGATGCAGGTGATGCCGTTACAGAACCAAATCGTGGCAGGTATTGCCGTGTTTCCTCTCAGAGTGACAGTCATAAATACTATCAAACAATAAAGGGAGAATGGTGCTGTTTAAAGTCACATCCCTGTAAATTGCAGAATTCGAAAGTGATTATCTCTTTGATCTACTTGCCTCATTTCCCTATCTTCTCCCCCACGGTATCCTAAACTTTAGACTTCCCACTGTTCTGAAAAGAGACATTGCTTGATGTCTCCCTTCGACCACAGCAAGCCATCGTCCTCCATTGCTCCCGGGAACTCAAGAGGAATCTGTTTCTCTGCTGTCAACTTCCGGTCTGGCTCAGCATAGGGTCACTTTGCCGTTATGCAAATGGAGATAAAAGCAATTCTGACTGTCCAGGAGCTAATCTGACCGTTCTCTTGTGTGGATGTCCACATAAAAAGGCAATTTTAGTGTATTAATCATAGATTATTATGAACTATAAACTTAAGGGCAAGGAGTTTATTACAATGTATCTTTATTAAAACAAAAGGGTGTATAGTGTTCACAAACTGTGAAAATAGTGTAAGAACTGTACATTGTGAGCTCTGGTTATTTTTCTCTTGTACCATAGAAAAATGTATAAAAATTATCAAAAAGCTAATGTGCAGGGATATTGCCTTATTTGTCTGTAAAAAATGGAGCTCAGTAACATAACTGCTTCTTGGAGCTTTGGAATATTTTATCCTGTATTCTTGTTTGAATTCCTCCTCTATTTAAGATATATACATGGAATCGAAGTGTTTATGTAATAGTTCTATCCTTTTGCCTGCAGGTCAGTTGTAATAAATCTAGGATGTGATGATGACTTTGTAATTTGATTTTCTGAAATCAGACCCTGAGAGGGGAAAATCAAGTAAATTACATTAAATTATCTGTGCAATTCACACCGGGGAAAATGACCTCCTTTTGGAAGTGTTTTATGGCTGCTTTCTTTTTCTTCTTCCCATGGCTACCCTTTTTGCTTATCCTTCTTGAAACCACAGATGTATCTGTTAAGCACAGCTTTGCTTGAACAGGCATCACAGTCTCTTGAGTTTCTTTGTTGTCCTGACCTGCCCCAGCTTTCTTAATGCTAAAGGAAGTGGGTACAGTTCTTCAACCTGTGTCATGGTGGAGAGGTACAACTTGGAAGGCTATCTGGGCCCCGCGTATGGTTTCCAGTCATGCCCTTGGCTCTTGGTGCTACAGCTGCCAGGTGAGCATTAGATGTCAGGTTACTTACTGGGTTGGAATCACTCACTGTTACCTTAGAAGGGTAGGGAAGATTGTGGGTAAAAGACCTCTGGGAGGTCAAACCTGGGATGTTTATGGATGAGAGGACAATGGAAGTGAACAGAAAACCAGGGGAGCCTGGAAACTGTTGGAGAAAAGCACTTTGCAGCTCCAGCACTGTATGTATCTGCTGTACTCTACCTCCTACCAGTGACTGATCGGATAACAGATTCATTGATATTATGGTGATTCAGCACCTTACCCTTGTGCCTGCTCCAAACGGAATCTGAGATACTATTACAGAGCCAGATGTGGTATCAAACATTCCCCCGAGAGGGGTGTGAAAGCAGGAATTCTGGCCCCTCCAGCTAAGCCTCAGCTGCTAAGGGAAAGGGTACTTATTGGGTTTCAACACTGGCATGAGAGAGAGACTACACACTCCCGTGTTTCATAGGACACTGCCTTGTATTTGTTCATCTCATTTGATTCCAAATGCAGCCCACTAAAATTAAATGGCTGTATCCCCTTTTAGATATAAGAAAACCAAGGTCCAGAGAAGTGAAGTTCTGGCCCAAATAACAGTAGGGAGCAGAGCTGAGATTCAACTTCAAGGCCATAACACGTACACTAAGAAGTTACATTAATTTAAAAACACTGCTATTAAAGAAGTGGTGTGGAGTTGAGAAGTAGAAGAATGCATATAGTTGGGGACACTGTGTTCATAAACCTGACTAGGGCCTGCTTTGTTGTTTTGGAAACAAGTTGAAGGCAGAGGTTCTGGGGGCCACAGTGGGGTTACATACAAAGTGATCCATACATAGGCAGCTGTGTAATTACCTTAGAATTAACTAGAGGAACTCTAGGTTGTAATTCTTAAGTGCAACACCTGAGAATTCAGTGTCATGGACTGAACGTCTCCCTTAGCATGAGAATGTGACAATCACTGAGAATGAGTAAAGTGCCCTTTCGTTTATTTATTTTTTATTTTTTGAGACAGAGTTTCGCTCTTGTTGCCCAGGCTGCAATGCAATGGCACGATCTTGGCTCTGCAACCTTTGCCTCCCAGGTTCAAGCAATTCTGCCTCAGCCTCCCGAGTAGTTGGGATTACAGGTGCCCACCACCACGCCCGGCTAATTTTTTTTTTCTTTTTTTTTTTGAGATGGAGTCCCGCTCTTGTTGCCCAGGCTGGAGTGCAATGGCATAATCTCGGCGCACTGCAACCTCCGCCTCCCAGGTTCAAGCAATTCTCCTGCCTCAGCCTCCCAAGTAGCTGGGATTATAGGCAACTGCCACTACACCAAGCTAAATTTTTTTTTTTTTTGTATTTTTAGTAGAGATGTGGTTTCACCATGTCGGCCAGGCTGGTCTCGAACTCCTGACCTCAGGCGATTCACCTGCCTCGCCCTCCCAAAGTGCTGGGATTACAAAGAGCCAGCATGCTCAGCCTCCCTTTAATTGATTTGATCCAACTGTCTTAGCTGCAGGAGAATAGAGAAAGGACACATAAGGTCTTAAAAGTACCCTTGGGACACTGGTTACTTGTCGTGGCAGTGTGTAGTGATTATGTATCTCCATCTCTTGTGCAGGGCTGTATGCACCAGTCACATCCATTGCACCTGGACTTACTGCTTGGGACGTGAGGGACAGATAATCTAAAGGCTTGGTCTTAACCTTACTGGCTTGGTTTTAAATACCTCATTAAGTGGTTGAGAGAAAATGTAATCAGCAGTCATAACTCTTAGGATGAACGGTAAGAACCACGCCATTGAAAATTGACACTAGACAACATCATATAAGGAACACCTGTAGAATGGGAAACAGCTTGTCCTCTGGTAATTTAGTGCAGACTGAAGTTATTTTTATTTCTTGTTTCTTCCTATCCGATACGTGAATATCCAGAAATTCTCATCTCAAACCTTGAAATCGTAAGGATAGTGGTTCAGTATCTGCTTTTGATAACATTCTGTTTTGTTTTTCTGATGTGCCAAAGTGTATTTATACGTCTGAAATGTAAAATGTAGTCCTGCTAGTTAAAACTTGTTAACCCGTATAGCATATAGTCACAATTCAGTAATTGTTATGCATAACGAATTGAGTGTCTGCATTTGAAATTTCTATCTACATATGCATTTTGCTAAAGAATAGTGTATTAAGACTTCCAGTTCTTCCTAATTGTTATACAGATTTAATGTGAACACCATTCTTCAAGGTAGAAAGGGAGAGTATTTTGTTGTTTCAGTTCTACACATGGGTTAACAGTACTAAATAATTAAGTAATTTGCCTAAGGTATCATCAAGAGGGTATATAGAGCTCAGGTCTCTTGATGGCTTATTAGGATTCTTTTTTGTGTGTGTGACAGTGTCTTGTTCTGTTGCCCAGGCTGGAGTGCAGTGGCACGATCTTAGCTCACTGTAGCCTCCGCCTCCGCCTCCCAGGTTCAAGCAATTCTTCTGCCTCAGCCTCCTAAGTAGCTGGGATTACAGGCACCTACCACCATTCTTGGCTAATTTTTTGTATTTTTAGTAGAGATGGGGTTTCACCATGTTGGCCAGGCTGGTCTCGAACTCCTGGCCTCACGTGATCCATTTGCCTCGGCCTCCCAAAGTGCTGGGATTACAAGCGTGAGCCACCACACCTGGCTTGTTAAGATTTTTATGAAACTGTGCTTCCTGTTTGACAACGATGAATTACAAGGTTTAAAAGCAAAAGCTTGTTACTTACATATGACTCCTGCCTGCTACATTTATTCTAACCCCTGGAACCATTTTCCTTTGGAAAATTGCCTTTAGCACATGATTAGAAGCAACATTACATGATCGTCTGCTCACTTTTAATCCTAAATGGTATTTCACAGTTTCTTGCTTAGTTCCTAAGACTTGATCTCAACCCACTTTTGTCTGTAGAAAGTAAATTCATCTTCAAATCACGAACAGTAGTTTCATTCAGAAGCAGAAAATGTTAAGAACTCGTTAGGATCAGTTTTTGTTCCTGAAGGTGTCCGGGCCTTTCTTTAAAACATGCTTTCTGATAAGTCCTTTCTCTTTCACCTTCCACTTCTAATTAGGGACCAAGTTCTTTGATTACGTTTCTTAATTTTCTCTAGTTCCTTTTGTTCCTGTTTCCATTGACGCTGTGTATTCATTCCTCACCTCTGGTTTTGCTCCCTTCAGACCCTTCCCCACTACTGTCCTTAGCCTTTCTGAAGTAGTTCTCTAATCATGTTCTTCTGTTTAAATTCCTTCATGAATCCCTGGAATACCCAAAATGAAGGCCAAACTCATGGTTTTAGATGTAGTGTTATGTAGTCCTGAACACATAGATAGGACGTATTATCTTCATCTTAAAGATGAGGAAATGGGTTCACTGTGATTGGTAACTTGCCCACTCTTTCACAGCCAAGGAGGAATCTAGAAGGATCAAGAATAGGGCATGATAATCAATGAGTGGATAAATAAATTGTGGTGTATATATACCGTGGAATACTACTCAGTCATAAAAAGGAATGAAGTAATGGCATTTGCAGCAACCTGGATAGAATTGGAGACCATTATTCTAAGTGAAGTAACTCAGGAATGGAAAACCAAACATCATATGTTCTCACTCATAAGTGAGAACTAGGCTATGAGGATGCAAAGACATAAGAATGATACAATGGACTTTGGGGACTTGGAGGAAAGGGGAAAGGTTGGGAGAAGGGTGAGGGATAAAAGACTATACACCGGGTACAGTGTACACTGCTTGGGTGATGGGTGCACCAGAATCTCACAGATCACCACTAAAGAACTTACTCATGTAACCAAACACCACCTGTTCCCCAAAAACCTATTGAAATAAAAAATAATAATCTAAAATAATTTCCGTTAAATTTGAAAAAAACAATAGGGCATGAGTCTGAAAAGGTAGACAGTCATACTCATATAGGAAATGGTGCATTGTGCCAATAATGTTGAACTTTATTTCTTAATTGCTTGTGAGCCATATGGGATTTTAAGCAAGGAGATTGTTTGATCTGATTTGTATTTTAGACAATTCGTTTCAGTGACTATGTAGCCTAAAATGGAAGTGGGGAGACTTGGACACGAATTAGAAAACTTGTAATATTTTAGGCAAAAAATGTAAAACGTTAAGAGAGGTAAAGTGGTAGAATTGGGCATGGAGAAGAGAGAATTTTATGAGATACTTTATTGGTTCCCAATCAAAAGTGTGGGGTAAAGAAGCCTGGAATAATGTTTTCTGGTTTGAGTGGTTTGGGTTGTTTTATACCATCTGTTGCACCATTCATAACCTTTCATGGTTTACCAAATCTGCTTTACTCTTTTATGCCTTCTAGTTGCGTAAGCTGGTTCCTTTTGTCGGGAATTCTCTTTTTCTTTCTTTTTCTTTTTTATTTTTTTAACTTGCCTTTTGAAAGCACCTACTCATCTTTTAAGACCTTAGGTTAAATGTCAGACACTTTAGGAACCCTTTCCCAAGTCTATTCTTTGAGCTCAAGAGAACAGAATATGTGTTTCTACATATATTTATGTTACATTTGATCCTGTTGAGTTATGGTCATTCATACATTTTCTTACTTGGTGTTAATTTGAAGTCAGCCTTAGTCATATGTAAGATCCAGTCCTCTAGTCAGCCTAGGCTGTCATATTATGATACTGATTTTCTGTTAGAAAGGC